GGCCTGGGAGCGCCTTGGGATCCCCCAGTCAGAGCTGGTTGATGTGGCCAGGGAAAAGAAAGTTTGGGGCTCTCTGCTGGAACTGCTACCTCCGCGACCCGACCACGGATAAGCGGGAGAAGATGGATGGATGGATGGATGGAAACACGCAGCATTTAACGGTGTTCATTTATTCAGATACATCCGTACTTACATGGCCAACCGGCAAATGAACAATGGCGCTGGAGGACAGGAAACAAACATTATATTGCATTTAGCTGACGCTTTTATCCAAAGTGACTTACAATAAGTACATTCGACCGGGAAGATACAACCTTGAAGAAAACAGAATCATATAAGTGCATCAGGTTTCATAGAGCCAAAATGTCAAGTGCTACTCAACTGGCTTTAGATAAGCCAGCCCTTTATTAGTATATAAGTGCTTTGTTAGTAATTCTATCGCTCGAAGTGGAGTTGAAAGAGATGAGTTTTCAGTCTGCGCCAGAAGATGTGCAAGCTATCTGCTGTTCTGATTTCAATGGGGGGCTCATTCCACCATTTTGGAGCCAGGATAGCAAACCCACGTGTTTTTGCTGATGGGAACTTGGGTCCCCCTCGCAGTGCGGGTGCAGCGAGCTGTTTGGCCGATGCAGAGCGGAGTGCACGTGCTGGGGTGTACGGTTTAACCATGTCCTGGATGTAGGAAGGGCCAGATCCATTCGCAGCATGGTACGCAAGTACCAGTGTCTTGAAGTGGATTCTAGCAGTTACTGGAAGCCAGTGAAGGGAGCGGAGGAGCGGCGTGGTGTGGGAGAATTTTGGAAGGTTGAAGACCAGACGAGCCGCTGCATTCTGGATGAGCTGCAGAGGTCGGATGGCACATGCAGGTAGACCAGCCAGGAGGGAGTTGCAGTAGTCTAGGCGTGAGATGACGAGAGCCTGGACCAGAACCTGCGCTGATTTCTGGGTCAGCTGGGGACGTATCCTCCTGATGTTGTAAAGGTGTATCTGCAGCAGCGGGTTGTAGCAGCATGTTTGCAGTGAAGGACAGTTTGTTATCTAGGGTCACACCAGATTCCTTGCAGTCTGAGTCGGGGAAACAACAGAGGTGCCGATGTTGATTGTTAGGTCAAGAGTGGGACAATCTTTTCCCGGAAGGAAAAGCAGTTCAGTCTTGTCAAGGTTGAGCTTGAGGTGATGAGCAGACATCCACGAGAGATGTCGCTAGCAAGCAGAGATGCGTGCGACGACCTGGGTCTCTGAGCGGGGAAAGGACAGAATTAATTGGGTGTCGTCAGCGTAGCAGTGGTATGAAAAACCATGCGGGCTAATGACAGATCCGAGCGAGTTTGTGTACAAGGAGAAGAGGAGGGGACCAAGAACAGAGCCCTGAGGGACCCCTGTAGTTAATTGACAAGGGTCGGACTCGGACCCTCTCCAAGTTACCCTGTAGGTGCGGTCTTTGAGGTATGAGGTGAGGAGGGAAAGTGCAGAGCCTGAAACTCCAAGTTCTTGGAGAGTGCGAAGGAGGATCTGATGATTCACCGTGTCGAATGCAGCAGACAGGTCCAAAAGGATGATGACAGAGGAGAGGGAGGCTGCTTTAGCCATGTGCAGTTCCTCAGTGACAGCAAGGAGGGCAGTTTCTGTTGAGTGACCTGCCTTGAAACCAGACTGGTGCGGATCCAGAAGGTTGTTCTGATGGAGATAACAGGAGAGTTGTTTAAAGACAGCTAATATGTTAGAGTTTATCAGGTTAGATGTTGACCATAATGACTGTCATGTATAGCATGCTAACATTTGCTAATTAGCACTGAACAAGATGTACAGCTGAGGCTGATGAGAATGTGGTCATACATGTGGTTGACCTGGTGACGGAGCTAGAGTAAAGTGGGAGTGTCACCAAGCAATTAATTAATTAATCGCTATGGGAACGTGAATGTCTCTCCCGAATTCCATTGCAGTCCATCAAATAGTTTGATATTTACATTCAGAGCAAAGTGGTGAACCAACCAAGCAACATCAATATTCTCAAGCAAACCTTGAATAAATGGATTATGGAAATTATTGAGAAATTACATTATTAAGTGCAGAAGTTGCCTATAATAAGCTAGTAATAGATTGGAGGGAAAGCAATACAAATAAATAAAGGGCAATATTATCTAAGGAACCCATTTTAGGAGGAATATTCTAGTTGCCGGATTTAATGATGTTTTAATAGTTTAAAGGTCAAAATTCCCGTTTATTCTATATATGATGCTCTGAGGTCAATTCCTGATTACATTGATCCAGAGTCATCTTTACAGATCCAACTTTCAGCTTCTGTCTCACCTCATTAAAATGTGCCAGGGCGAAAGTTCACAGTAACATTCTCCTTGAGTAGATCCAGCTACCGGGTCACAAAGCCATAATGTGGTTATCACAGGGTACAGTTCCTGCAGTAAACTGAACTCATAGATAACTAAATTTGGCAACAAATCAACCTCAGGATGTGAAGATAACAAAACAAGTGTTGCACAAATAATTGTAGAGATTGTATAAACTTTATAGGTACTTTGGATGCACAGAATGTTACCTCATTCACACCAACAGTGTTTCAGGGCCTGCAGTACGTGACAGAATGATGAACACAGTTTTATTGTGAAACCGTGGACAGCAAGAACTGCTGTTTCAAATTTTGGTGCAAAGAAAATGTGTTATTTGTATGTAAATAGCACAGCTTGAATCAGCTCATACGTTTGTTTTTTTAAAGATTTTATTTTGGCAGCAGCTTGTCAGGGCAGCTGATGTTAGGTGCTGAAAGCTGTGAGGGTAAAATATCTTCGCCCTGACACGTGACTTGTCAACTCCATGTCAATCTTGCTTTGTCACGTTGTGTCTTGTGAGTGTTGCAGCAGCATGATCAGACTACTCAAATAGCTAGTGAGAGTTTTCAATGTCAAATTCACTGCCTTACAATAAGGCAAGGCAAGTTTATATAGCACCTTTCAACACAAGGCACATTAGGAGCAATACAATATAGTTCAGCAGAAACATTCTATAAAATGGCATTTAAAAACTTTCATTAAAAAACTAAGACAATCCAATAAACATAAAACAAGCCAACATATGAGAATTATTAAGAGCATTTAGAAATGATTTTGCTCCCACATATTCATGCGGCTTGCCATTCTTGGACCCTATCTGTAGCTGTAATACTTTGTAACAATTGGAGCAGTCTTTTGCTCTTCAACTTATGTTTAAAATGCATTTCTACCTTAATTTCTTTTGGTTTAAGAACAAGAAATATATTGCTGACTTCATTCCTTGCAGATCATTTCTAAAGTGTAATGTTTTCTCTCAGCCATGTGCTGTTGGCCCAGAGTATGAACATGGAGGAACATTCAGAGCAATTACAGATTTTTATGATTAGAAAGCTTTTCTGTTTTTGACCAGATGTCTGCTGAAATCTTTTTTTATTGTAATTATGTGTCCTCATATCCTGCAGCTTCCATTTGGCAGATGCTTCATAGATAACAGTAAGAGGCAGAACCAGTTAGAGCTGAGTATGATCTAATCAAACTAAATAAAAGTCAGCTGTCCAATGCCCCGACATCTGTTCTGTTTCTAATAGCACTCACTCTTTTTCTTTTAACCGTGGCTCATACAACATAATTTAATATGAAGCACCTACTAATATAACACCCACCCAGAAACCACAACATATCAATAAGGCTATTAGTTTAATCTGCTAACTGACCTCATATTCTGTATAGGAGAACTTTTAAAGGTCAGACAAGGTATACAGGCTCCTTGTGCTGTTCCTCTCAGAGTAGAGAGTCAGTGACTCACTGTGTTGGCCTGAATCACTTCTTTCCTTTTCCCCATCAGTGGAAAAGCACCACACAGAAAAGCAGAGGAGGGTCCGCTGGCTGTAAAAGACCTCTCTGTGCGGACTCTGGCCTGCAGCCAGGCAGCAGACACGTGTCAGGCCAGGTAAACCAGGGAGGCGTTTCATAAACTCTACACTGAACTTCTAACACTCGCGAGTTGTTAGACTCCTGAATTACATGTTGTAGAAGTTGTAAATCATTAAATATACAGCCTCTTTTGAGCTTTTTGTGAGGACTTTAAGCTGAGACTTGGAGATTGAAGCTGGACTTTGACTCAAGATTTATCATATAAAGTAGCCTAGAGGAGAGGGGAAAGTGGGTTATTTTACCAAAGAGGGAGAGGAAGAGAGAACGACGACATGGCCATGTGGAGGACAGCGGCAGCTCTTCTGCTAATTCTACAAACTGGTAAGAAATGATTTGTTTCAGGTTGACAAAGGTATTCAACAGCACTGATTGCCCTAGAGGTGGAGATACAAATATAACTAAACAGAATTTTTCTATATCATAGTATTTTTGTTTTAATGAAAGATTATCAAGATTATCATCTATATTACATGTTAAACATATTTTCCAGTTGACCTCAACTTATTGTTGATGTACATGACCATAAGGTGACAACAAGTGTATAATTTGGATAATTTTAGAGAAAAAATACTTTCCATTATTTGAAATGAATAGAAACATTAGAAAAAATAAATTTTAAACATATTTATTTTGTATTCCTCCAATTTGTATTGTAACCGTTTGAAATCAAGTACATTGAAAACGGTAGAATATTTTCACAGCAGTAGGATAGTTATAGAGATGACAGGATGTTTTCATGACTCATTTAGTGGGAAAGTTTAATGATGTCTGTGTTTCTCTCTCAGTGTTTGGCCAGAGCAGCATCAGATGGTGCACCATCTCAGATGCAGAGCAAAAAAAATGTTCGGCCATGTCGGAGGCCTTCGCCAAAGCCTCGATCCGTCCATCCCTGAGATGTGTCAACGGAGTGACCATCGAGGGCTGCGTTCAGAAACTACAGGTCGGAATAGGGCTAGAGGAATTTAAGCAATTTTGAAAAATGGTAGTTGTTCCTTAATAGGCAAATCATAAAATAATTTGCAGTGTAAAATACCTTATTATTTAGTGATCTATGAATCTATATCAGTCAGGACACCAGAAGACTTATTAAAAGATCATTAAATATTTTTGAGTGGTACTATCAGGCATAAGATAACAAGGCTGGAACAAAATTTACAGTTGCAATAAACTTTTTTATAGCTGATATCAGGCAGCACACTGGGCCCTTTAGGGCAACCACAGACTTGAAGATTTCTGGCAGTAACCTAGTAACCAGAAACTGAGCAAAACACAAACCTTAATGTTTGAATAATGCATTGTCCTATGTAGGCTAGGCTATAAGGAAATACATGATATGCTGAAAAGTGTAATATTAAAGTGTAAAAGTGTAATCTTAAAGTGTAGATTTAGCTAGACTTTCATATTGTAAAAAAATCCAGTGTCTCTGTTCCAAAACATTTAGATGTTTTAAACCATACCATAAATAGTTATTGTTTCTTTGTACAATGTTCTACAAGTGTATCAGCTGTCCCTGTCAATCTATAATATTGGGGCTCACATACATAGGGGAAATGTCCTGATATTTATAACGCTATTCATCTTTTTGCTTTCTCTGTTACTGCAGAAAAAAGAAGCAGATGCCGTGTCCATGTTCAGCAGTGACATCTACAAGTTGGGGAAAACCAACTCCTTCAAGATTGCTGCCAGTGAATCAAAAATGGATGGTTAGAATGTTTATTTCATCTGAAAAGCAACTCAAACACAGTTAGATGGTTGAAGACAGAGATAACGATTCAGAGAGAAATACAAGTGTGAAACATGATTTCACACTTGTATTCACACAGGACCAAAGATAAATCTCTGGTCCTGTGTGATAAGCAACTTAAAAAACATGTTAGCCAATTCAGTATGTTGTTTTAGTATGTAATGTTAAAAAGAATAGTTTAGTATTTTGAGAAATATTCCTGTTTTTTTATTGCTTAAAGATGAGAAGATGAGCCACTTAGTGTGAAGTCGAGCAGGGTGACCATATAGCTTAGCCTGAAGACTGGAAACAACAGCTAGTAGCTCCGTCCAAATGGAAAATAATACACCTTTAAGAACGGCTAAAAATCACATAATAAGAATGTATAATTTGTTTAACATGTACAACTAGAACTGTTGGTGTAATGACAAGTTGTTGGACTATCTATTGGACAGAGCCAGGCTAGCTGTTCCCTGTTTCCAGTTTTTGAGCTAAGGTAAGCAACTAGCTGTAGATTTGTGTTTTTTATACAAACATAAAAGTGAGTATTTATAGCAAGAAAGCAACACATGTATTGACAAAAATGTGTAATAGATATTTATTATGGTTAACTTGTAGCAACTTAATGCAGGCTAAGTTATCACACGTGTTACCTGATTATAACAACTACTCCTGTCTCTGGGATATTTAAAAACAAAAATGAGTGGTAGTCAGCACTGATCTCCTACATTATATCTCAAACTAGAAATGGCACGTAATACATTGCAAATACTCAGTTATTGTGAAGTGTGTTTTATACCTGCTCTGTTGTTGCCTCAGGTACCGGTGCTAACTACTATGCAGTTGCTGTGGTGAAGAAAGCAAATTCTGGCATCAGCATAAACAACCTGGCAGGAAAAAGGAGCTGTCACACAGGGAAAGGCCGAACAGCTGGCTGGAATATGCCTTTAGGATACCTCATAGACCAGGGCTACATGTCTGTAGTGGGCTGCAACATCCCACAGGGTAGGAAATACACTTCACATAAATAATTGTGCATACAGTATGTGTACATACAGGAAGCTGGAGAGACTTTTGTGTGTTTGTGTCATCAGGTGTGGCACATTTCTTCAATGCCAGCTGTATCCCCGGAGCAAACCAGGAAGGTGATCCAGCGTCTCTGTGTCAGCTGTGCAAAGGAAATGGTGAAGGACTGAACAAATGTGACATGAGCGACAAAGAGTTATACTTCAGCTACGCGGGAGCCTTTAGGTAACACACAGAAGTTACTGTTCTGCAGAACTGCAGAATTACTTCCAGGACCTATCTAGAGACATTTCATCTTTAATAACATTTTACAAACAGTAGCACATTGAACATATCAAAATATAAATAAAAAAGTTATGTTGTCGTTAAACAAAAGGATATATAGTTTTCGGGCTTTCCTTTAGAAAAATAATGTGCATTTGCTAGGAAAATGTTACGTTTTGGTTGCAAAAAAAAGCACAATCTTAATGGACATGTTTTTAAAATGTCTGTAAAACAATTCACTTAACTGAGCAATTTGAAATAAATCCTAATGTCTAATAATGTTTAGAATGTTAATATAAAAACATGTTTAGCTCTACTGTTTTAGTTGATCACGTTAGCATGCTACAATTAACATCACTAGAGGAAAAGTCAGGGAACCAAAGATTTTAGGATTCATCACCTGTGACCCATATCAACACAAATCTAATATAATGGTTGATAACATTTCGAATTCTGAAGCAAAGTGGCAGGTGAAAAAAGACATGCCCATCTCTAGAGTGACACTGCTAGCATGGCTCCCAACACATGCAAGGCCATAGCACAGTGGTTGGTATCCTCCTCTTCGAGACAGAAAGCAAAGGATAGGAATTTGAGTCAAGAAACACTAACACTTTCAAAGCAACTGGTGTGACATTCTCCAAGTAGCATGGACCTTTAATTCTCAACTCCTACTTTGTGTTCCATCTCCGTAGGTGTCTGACTGAGGATGCAGGAGAGGTGGCCTTCATCAAACACACCACTGTCGCTGAAAACACTGATGGTAACCTCTTAGTTAGCTGTACAATCAGAGATGACCACATCAATTGTTACATTTTCAGCCACTTTGTTGTTAGCTTATTAGCATGTCTGTTAGCTAACCAGTTATTATTTTCACCAGATAAAACTCCTTCCTGGGCAAGCAAACTGAACTCAGCAGATTATGAGCTGCTGTGTCGTGATGGCTCTAGAGCTCCTGTCTCTCAATGGAATAGATGCCACCTGGTCCGCATCCCATCTCGTGGAATTGTTGTTGGCATGGACGTCACTCCCTCTCTGGTGTTCAACATGCTGACGGAGGGACTGGTACGTTTAAACATCCACAAATAACAGGAAGTATCTTAAAGCTACAATCTTGAAGATCTTGTTTGGTTTTCTATGCCGGTAATTTCGATTCATCACTATTTAAGAGCACTTTTTGAGAATGTTCCAACAGTTTGTAATCTCATCATTGGGCAATAGATTCAGTCACCATTGTGTTACCTTTTACGACAATATATATAGTGACTTAAGAGAAGAAAATCTTCAAGATTCTAACATTGAGACACACTGAAGGAGTCGGACTAGCATTCATTACTGTGAGATTCTGTGCGTGAGATGAATTGAGTGTTACTTCTCATCTGCAGGCAAAGTCAGAGTTCGGCATGTTTTCATCTATGGATTACGGAGGAGGAACTGTTCTCTTCTCTGAGTCATCCACCATGTTTCTGGGGGCCGAGTCAAATGACCCTGAGAAGTGGATGCATCGCTACTATCATGATGCTCTGACAGCCATGGACTGTAAAGCTGAAGGTGAAACAAAAATGGCACTCGTTGATTTCTATGAAGTTTCTTTGTGAAATGTATGAGTAAATGTACCCGTTCTAGTTAACTGGGAAACCTACCTATCAATTCATATTTCTTTCTTCCTTTACAACTCACCTGTCTATCTTCAGATATCCCAGGTGTCCTGCGTTGGTGTGTGTTGTCCAGTGGTGAGCAGCAGAAATGTGCTGACATGAGCGTGGCCTTCCATAACAAAGGTCTGACTCCAGAAATCAAATGTGTCCACGGGGACTCTGTGACTGACTGCATGAAGAGAATCAAGGTAACAGATGATTTCAGCTGGCGGTTGCTGAAGAACAACTACAGTGATTTCCTTTCATTCAAATTAAAACACAGTATCTGTGCTCTACGGTGGAAAAACTCTAAAACTATACCTTAAATACCACTTACCAAAAGTTTGAACTGGAGTCATTATGTAAGGACATGAGAGAAAGACGCATTTGTCTCTGCAGACCTGTACACTGACAACCGATGATAACCACAATGTGTTGATTAAGGAAAAGTCTAGGGATCTGTAAAGTCAGTATTATTCATCCTCTAGGGACCAATATGAAAGACCTACAGATGGATATTACGATCCATATAGCCTTGACGCAAGCATTTTTCATTGTTCAGATGTATTAAACTAACCCTGTGACCTGTTTAGAAGGACTTGGACTTGAATTGAGACCTGTAGGTCTATACTTTGAGCAACACCAACTATCTGTGATAAGCTGTTCTGGCATCTCAATCTCCGCCCTTCCCTTCGATAATTGTGTAGAACAACGAGGCTGATGCCATCACCTTGGATGGAGGTTACATCTACACAGCAGGCAAAGAGTACGGATTGGTCCCTGCTACCGGCGAGAGCTACACAGGTACGATTTCAAACACATAAACTCACACAAGCAAAGTCACACATTCTTGTTACAAAGGCAGGAGATAGAGGTTGTTGTTTCTGTTGTCTCCAGAGAGCAGAGATGGTTCCATGTACTATGCAGTCGCAGTGGTGAAAAAGAGTAGCTTTGACATCCGTAACCTTGACGACCTGCGTGGCCGTCGCTCCTGTCACACCGGATATGGTCGCACGGCTGGCTGGAACGTTCCCGTAGCAACGCTGATGGAGAGAGGCCTGATAGCACCTAAGCACTGTCAGATACCCCAAGGTCAGTGGGATGTTGGTGTGTGAATCTGTGTCTGTGTGTAGTAGTGGTCTGGGATAGAATAGTCAGAACTCAGAAAAAATAGCATTCATACAAACATGCAGGTCGTTTTTACAACTGGGAAAGAATGCCTCACGCCTAACTTCCACCAAAGTTTTTGCGGATTTGACTCAAATGTAATGGATTTGGTGTTATATTATTAATGCATGCTATTTAAACCCTCACACTGCCAACTTTAAATTTGTCTTGACATGTTTGATGATATGCTCAAAGATCCACACCACGCCCAATCAAGATTACATCATAAAGGAAAGCTACTGAAAGCCACATTATAAATTACAAAACTATTGTATCAGGCTGAATGCTCCTCATTTCTGCAAGTAAAACAAACATCATGTAAAGAATGGACAGTTCGTTATAAAACCCATTTGTTTTAAAAGCCTTACTTTTTCTTCCATTCTTTGACTTTCTATTTTTTTATGTTTCCCATGACGGCTAGCTGTGGGAGGGTTCTTTGAGAAAAGCTGCGTACCAGGTGCAAACCAGCCCGGTATGCCCAGCAACCTGTGTGGGCTGTGTGTGGGCACCGAATCAGGACAGAACAAGTGTGAGAAGGGAAAAGACCTGTATGATGGATACGACGGTGCCTTCAGGTAACACCCCAAACCCCTGCACTACGTCAAAGTTACATTTTTCACTCCAATTTGTCCCTGTATCCCCAACAATATAATAAATGTTAATGAACATGGGTGCATTTAGACTGTTGGAAACCTATTTCTGACAGAATGACTGCGCTACAGCTGCTTAATTCATCCAAAATGACCCTATTAGTACTTTAATCCTTAGGTTTAACCCACCGGCACATCATTTTAAGGTCTGTGATTGGAAGTTCCTTGCTGAAAAGCATGGAGTTAAAATTAACTTCGTCCTCATCTTTTGTACAGATGATTGAACTCCATTTTATGGGACTTTGGGGAAAAGTGCACCAGTAAAGACTTCTCTAATTAGCAACTGTATTGCCTCCAATATAAAATGTTATTGAACATTGCACCCATACTGCATGTGTCTGTCTATCTGTCCTTTCAGGTGTCTTGCAAAAGGAGAAGGAGATGTGGCTTTTATCAAACATTCTACTGTCTTTCAAAATACTGATGGTAAGACAACGAACTTCAAGAAATAAAATATTCTTATAAGAGTCTTGTAATTTTAAGGGACATAATTTTTCTTTGTGTTTGTTCAGGTAATGGTGAAACGTGGGCAGTGGATCTCCTGTCTAAAGACTTCCAGCTGCTGTGCTCTCAGGACACTAAAGCTGAGGTAACACAGTACAGACACTGCAACCTGGCCAGAGTCCCCTCCCACGCTGTAATGGTACGGCCCGACACCAACATCCACGCCATCTATGGACTACTTGACCGCGCACAGGTACAATTATTAATATTTCTCTAGCTTATACAGCGTACGGTCTGTAACACTGTACCGTACCTATTGATTCAGAGGGTGTAAGCCAACCAACTAAAGAGATCTGAAACAATAATTATATAAATGATTCTCCACTGTAAAAGACTCACAGGTTTCTGAGACCAAATGTAGGTTTTCATACATGAGATTTGATGTTTTGATGATTTTTGGTGGTGCATCAAATATGCTCTGACGTCTGAGAATTATTAATTGGGCGCCAGAAAGCATGTTGTTGGACAATATAATCCAACAGAAACAGCTAACTGGAATTTTGGAAGAAAATGGTTTCTGTGATGTTTATTAAGTTCCTTTTTATTTCTGTTTCCCTATACTAGACACATTTTGGCAGTGATACAGGTACTGAGTTCAAGATGTTTGACTCGAAGGAGTACAAAGGCACAGACCTCGTCTTCAAAGACTCCACTGTTATCCTTGTCGGTGTTGGTGACAGGAAGACCTACCAGGAGTGGCTGGGCCAGGGCTACATGGACTCGCTGGTTGACCTGGAGTGTAACTCATCCAGTGCAGGTAAAAACAAACAAAATAGCTAAAGTCACTCCACACTATCCAATGTAAATCAGAGGGATTTTTCTTTTTCTTTTCATGTTTATTTGTGTGGGTATAACCAAAGCAACTGAAAGGTTGTAAATTGAAACAAGGGTGAAGGGTGAAGAAAGCAAATGTTTTCTCAGGTTTGCCAAGTAGATCAACAATGTCTAGTATTCGGCAGTTCTATATTTTAGCAAAGGCTAATTCATTTTTTAAAGTCAACTATGTGGACAGGACAGATAGTTACAATTGTGCCACTATGTATGATAATAAAAAAAAGGATGAGCAAATTAGCAGCCTCTTGTAATTACCGGTATAACTGAAGAGTGGAGTGCAATTAGGATATAGATCATTCAGTCATAAAATAAATACACAGATAGGGGAGCTTTCTAATGATTTCCATTGTTTTCTTACCTACAACATATTTAATATCTCTTTTTTTGTTTGTACTTACAGTGAAGTCCTCTGTATTGCTGCTGCTGATGGCTTTGTTCAGCTTCATGCTGACCGACCTCTGGATGTAATGTGTTGCAGGCGTCCAGCAACGTCTCCAACTCACTTTCATAACTTTTTTCTCTATTTCTAATCTATTAACACTTTACATTCCTTTTTCCCTTCCCATGACTTCCCCCTCTCCATGCCTGATTATTTTGTCCATTTTCTCTGAAGTTTCGAAGAGAAATTAAGTGAAATTATCAGTTTGTAACTTTCTACTATTTTTGATCTTACAAATTGCATAATTTCTTACTAATTGTTTTTTTTTAATATATATATGAGAGAGTCATGTTGGAGCTGCCTTTGGATTTAAATGGTGCTGGTGTTGGATGGAAGCACATTGCCTTGTGGTATTGTGACAGATAAGAGAGTTTAGTTGCCAAAGACTTTCAGCCTGTGTTAATCAGACACGATGAGAGAATGTGCTGCTGCCACTTTGTTTACTAAAGGTGGGCTGCCATATCAGTGTGTATGCGGCCACCTGTTACATTTCCTTAGTGGGTGGCTCATTCAAGTCTCTCTGAAGCTAATTTGAAAAAGAACGACAATCTGATGATGAACTTTTACATGAATCCTTAATAACATTGCGATCAATTGATATTACTTACTTACTTTTAAATACGAGTAACAAAATGCTCTATGAGTTTGGAGCTAGAGCCAGGAGTTGATTAGCTTAGCTTCGCCGACCTTTAGCTTTTCGCCATATTGAACCTTTAAAACTACATTTTTAAAAGTCTTTATGTAAATATAGAAGTCATATTGCTGTTCCGTTCTGCTGCCACTTGCTGTGTGAGTATTACTACTAACTAACACAGCCTTTCTTTAGTTTAGGCTGTGTCGCTAATATAAGCTAATGCCATATCAGTGAATATGCACTAGTGTTGCCTCCACACAGCTGTGCTGGGGATAGTGTGATGATGAGTGGCTCAGTGTTCATCCAGGCTGTCTGCTTCATGTATTCTCCTCAATCACCTAAATCAAGTTGAATATATTAATCTGGCTTATATTTTATTATTTTGATCATAAATGGAAACTGCTTTAGCAGCAGATAGTCAGCATACACTTGGAGCCATTTCTCACACCTTGTAAGCATTCCATTTCATACATCTGGAAACACATGGAGTAGGCTCCATCAGATTTGGGGAGAACATAAAGAAAACATCCTGTGGTTTGTGCTGAGAGTGAATGGATTTTGTTTGTTTGGATGCTTTGAGTCAAAGAGGAGTTTGTGTTAATTAGGAGGAGACAACACGGTTTCATAATATGTGTCTTCAACTTTCATTGTTAAAAAAGGGTTTTACTTGCATTTGTGTTTGACTTGGAAACATACATTGATCCCGTTTTGATTTAAAACGGGTTGTGGCTTGATAAATTTAGTCATGCAATGCTTGTGTTCAATTAATATAATAGCTAAAAGGAAATAAATGTTTATGATAGACCTGAGTAAAATAAAATCTGCTCTCATGTACTCTAACCCATACAACTCAATCCAGAAATGTGTTAACTCAAAATAACTTGCTCAAGTCATATCTACTGTAGGCTACTTCATGGTGCTTGATGCTGTTTCCTGTTTTAAAAGGGTGAAAGATGTGTATTTTCCTATGTTAAGAGATTTATTTTTATATGATGTTCAGATGCCATATCAGTGTATATGTGCTGACTCATGCTGTCAGAAACTAATGCATTCTCTTCCTCCTGATAGAGATTTATTTCTATGTGAAATGATGTAATATGTGACTAATATTTAGTTGCCAGACCAGTGAGTCTGCACAAGTATTGCTACATAAAACTGCCTAAATGAGCTGTTTTTTGTGCTTCAAATTAAAAACAATTTTAAATGCATGTAGTTTGGCCATTCTCTGAGTGTCTGTGTATGTGTGTGTCATATTGACCAAGCCAAGCCCCTACAAACATTTATTCCCATTTGAAAATGGACTGGTACATTTGCAGCAGTAACATTTTTTGTTAAGTGTAGAACTAACAGTTATTTTCATAATCAATTGATCTGCCCACTATTTATTTGATTAATCCACACAAGTGGAATTACATAGGACCCATGGTGACATGTCTCACTGATATACAAATGGTCTATACTGACAAGAAACACATTCTAGCATTTGTGCTGAAATCATCAAATGTGTCCTTGAAAAATTACTTCAAACAATTAATGAATCAACAAAAACCAATGCTGAAAAGCATTTAGACACAACATTAACATTTCTGTTGGTCGCTTGTTAGCAAACCCTTCACGCGATGGCAGAGTGAACAGGTACAGGCAGGGCCCACAGTGATAGCCCTATAGTTTAAATCTACTACCCACACATAAACATATGGAAATGGGTTGCTATTTAAAAAAATAAATGTATTTAGGAAGCTATCAATGTGATTTTAAGTGGGGTTCAACGTCAAATCCTCTAGGGGGGTCCGGGGGCATGCTCCCCCAGTAAGATTTATTTTTAANATCAATCTGGTGCATTTTGAGGGGGAAATAAAGAGACTAGATCTATGGAAACACCTATATTAAACAGAACTGTATACATTTAAATAATCATAAAATCATGGCCCATAACCAATAACATACCATTTCCAATATGAAAAAAACACTGAAACTTGTTTATTAATTTATTTTTGGTTCATTTATAGTTGTGAGTGTCTGTGCTCCTGAATCAGCCTCTCTTGTCTCTCTCCTCTCTGAGGCAGCAGCAAAGACTAGTTTTAGCTCTCAACAAGTTTTAAAAGTGTATCTTACCTTTTTTCACCTTGTTAACTTTTTTATTTTTTATTCATGCATATTTTACTAATCACGCTCTCAAATGGAAATATGTGTTTACATAAATGGTGACCAAACCGTTTGAGACCCACTGAGAACTTAGACTAAGTTAACTATCTAAACACTCAAGAGTCCTTTACCTCACCTGAGCTGAGGTTATCCCGAGCTTGAATGACACACAGAGACCAATAAAGGGCTTTGATTTATGATCTGTATGACAGTGGCCATGTCGGCAGGCCACATCATGTAGACAGCCAGTCACCCTGTGTGAGGCAGGCCACTTAACAGGCCAGACCATCGGGAAATCTCCCGGTCCTCCCGATGGCCAGTCCGGGACTGGGTACAGGATGCGTAGATTGAGGGATCATTGTCTATCGTTAATCGATCGCAGATCAAAAAAAATTATTATTATTAAAAGAAAAAATTATTTTAAAAAAAACTTATAAAAAGAAAAGAAAAAACGAAATGGGTCGCGAAATATACTTGGGCAGCCTATGTATAGGAAACCCATACATTACCACAGCAGTAGGAGCAATAAAATGTTATCTTATCTCGTACTCTTTGCAGCATATCTCTGTAATGATGAATGCCGATGAACTATGAGTTACAACTTGGAGGCAGTGGACTGTGAACTCCTGACTCTGCAAACCTGACACAACCTTTCTTAAAGGCAGTCGTGTCATACGACCTCAGTAATTACATTTGCATAGGTACACAAACATGTATCTCCCTATGATCTAATTAAAACATTTATACAGATGAAACAGTAATTTCCTAGCAGTCATAGTGCCGTCATACATTATAATCTTTATTTTTACAATCGCACCAACAAGGTGAATAATGTCTATACATATCCTCATCACATCTTTCTCTATATTTACATTTTGACCCACCAAATGATTTACCAAGACAACTTTATGTACATTACTTTAAATGCATTTTGGGTAGATATGTCATAGTGCACATTAGGTAATGATGGTTTGGTATTTCACATTAATCTGACAAGACCAAGATAAAAGGCTGTTCAACGGGGTCTAATGAAATATCAACATTTCCAAATCTATAATGGGTCCCACAGTTGTTTGTAAAGATAAAATAGACACTTTCCATCCCTGCATTCTCAGAAATGCAAATACAGTGAATTCATTCAGTTAAACCTCAGTTCATCATATATTATCTGACCTCAGATATTCTAAATCACTCCCTGATTGTAAACTGGATCAGTGTCTAATATGTTGCAGTTTACCACCACACGGTTATAGTGCATGGATGAGGCAGATTGTTTATACATGACTTCCCATATGTCGTCCTCCTCCAGTCATTGTTGATTCACCATGGTTTCAGTTGATCAATAACCGCCCACTAAAGTGTATTCACAGTCTCTTTGCCATCCTATATCCAGCCTGTCGTGTTTACTTCTTGATCTGTCTGGAGCCGTCCTTCCATCCCTGCTTCACCTCATTCACAAAGGTGTCTCTGACTTTCTTCAAGATGCTGCCCATCTGCCCCAGGTCCCCGGGGACTTGGCCGGCCTCATGCTTCACCTGCCGCATCGTCTGAGACTGCAGGACCCGCTGAGAGGCTACTTTACCGGCTATCTGAGCCTTGGTGATGGCGTTGGCTGTGATCTGTGCCGCCCTGCGAATCGGACGAGACTCTGCCAACTTCTCAACAACACGGTGGTTGTTGAGGAGGTTGAATAAGAACCGGAGGAGCATTGTGTCGAGATGTTTCCCGAAGACTTTTGACACTTTAGCTTAGACAGCTAACTTAGCGGTCCCGTCGCTTTCGTGTATTTCTACCCTGTAATGACAATAAACAACAATAACGTGTAGCGTTAGTAAACTGTATATAATGATATCCGACGGTAGATTATACATTCATGTGTGCTGCGGTTGTGGCGTAAATAAGTATACATAAAACAGTTACTGACTTACTTCAGCTGGTTCAGGTGACTACTAGGTCGCCGCCGCAATGACATAACAGACTGTAGTAGAGTGAGGCTGAAGTTAGTCTCACGTTCTATTAATTTAAATTTCAACCTTACGTGTACTTATCTACAAGTGCGTCTCAACCAATATGAAGCTAACTTCAATTTAAATTGTTTTCCGGACGTTTTAGGTGGTAACACCATTCGGTAAAGTGCGTCCGGTTGAATCATACGTACATCCGTTTTCAGTGCCAGATTTCCCAGCTCGTTTCCGTTGATCATCCTTCCCAACATTCGCACACGGAGCGCTGAGATTCCTCATCTCAGAATTGCACTCTCAAACCCGTGGACACTGTGAACTGCTGCCATGCGTTTGCTTTTGTTTTTCGCCGTGACCATGCTGTCTCTGATCCCGGCGGCAATGAGCGGAGCCGAGAAGAAAAAGCTGCAGATCGGCATCAAGAAGCGAGTCGACAACTGCCCCATCAAGTCCCGCAAAGGAGACGTGCTGAACATGCACTACACCGGCAAGTTGGAGGATGGCACTGAGTTTGACAGCAGCATCCCCCGCGACAGGCCCTTCACCTTCACCCTTGGGACCGGTCAGGTGATCAAAGGCTGGGACCAAGGCCTGCTGGGAATGTGCGAGGGCGAGAAGAGGAAGCTGGTCATCCCCTCCGAGCTGGGCTACGGAGACAGGGGAGCTCCCCCAAAGATCCCCGGAGGAGCGACGCTCATCTTCGAGGTGGAACTGCTCAGCATCGATAGGAAATCCGAGCTGTGATGAACAGGAGATGGGGGAACTTTCGAAACGTACGTTTTTATAAATGGGTGGTTTACACTGATTTGGATGCCTCCGATTATTACCATAACACCATCCATTGTGTAGGCCTAAATCATGCCTGGAAAACAACATGGCCTCGGTTTCCTTTGGGGTAATCTGATTAAATGCAAATGATTTTAGAGGTGCACCATCTAAACTCAGAATTACATCAACAAATAAACGTAAACTCAGAAAACATACGTCAAAATTATATGATAAATAAAATAAAATAAAAATATAAAAAACAAGCCACATGTTAATATGTATGTTTTTAAATCTCAGTTACAGCTATTCGCCACATTTAAATAAAGTAAATACCTCTCAATGTTGCAGTGTTTCATGTTCGTCCACTATGACTTAATTAAAAACAATATATACACAGTGGGGCAAAAAAGTATTTAGTCAGCCACCAATTGTGCAAGTTCTCCCACTTAAAAAGATGAGAAGCCTGTAATTTTCATCCTAGGTATACCTCAACTATGAGAGACAGAATGGAGGGAAAGAATCCGTAAAATCACATTGTAGGATCTATTTTCGTTTTTTAACCAATAATGAATATGCTTGTTACAACCGATTTAAAAGCTTGTTTCTCCAGTTTATTCCTAAAAAATTCTCTAAAGGTACAAAAAAAAATGATAGACAAGATAAAAAAAATAAGAGACATCACAAGTGGTTCCAAAAGTTGTGACCAACGGACCATAAAACCGGGGTAAGGAGGTACGTCTATAGGAGATCTCGTCACTACAAAGCTCCGACCAGCGACCGTTGTGCCTGAAAGTTGAGGAAGGAGTTTCTAAAAATACCCCAACTCTAGACCTCTGACCGATCCGGTGAGGTCCTGGAACTTTACGAAGAATGCTTCGGGTGAGGGAAGCAACGGGACCCGCCACACAAACCCTAGTAACAGTACGACTTCTGGGTCGGTGCAAAGTAAAAGTTCACGGAACGACTACTTCCTCCCCACGGTGAGTTGTTAGAGTGCTATGTTACCGGGGTAAGTAAGAAAGGAAATCGTCGCCTAGTCAGCAGGACCAGGAAACGTCTTTTTGCGGGGTTTCGTAACTACAAAGGGTGGGGTACAAAGTGGAATCCAGTACCGACAAGAAACCTACGTTGAGTCGTAAGAAAGAGGTAGGTTTGTGCAGATCAACTCAAAAAATGGTTTTTCAAGATAAAACCAACAGTAGACTGGTATTACTGTAAGAGGGTTCAGGAGAAGACCTAGTAGATTTACCGAGGAGATCGTTTTGAAGTCTGCCCGGCCTGTACATGACCGAATTCGTCCCCCTGTGCAGAGCGTGACGTCCTAAACTTCAGGACCGCCGCATCACACAATGACTACCATGGAAACAATGAAACCAGGGTCGAGAGACGTCCAGTAACTGATCCGGGCCGCGCCCCACCAGACCCTAAAAACGAGTGGCAAGAACCACTAGTAAAACTGGGGTGCCCAACTCTAGAACGCACCTCGGGGTCTAGTTCCCTCTAATAGTCACCAGAACATACAAAGGGTAAAGAGATTATTAACCGAGGGTGTCAACTAAAGAAGTTGTGGTCGACGAATGGATAACGTCTAAGTCAGGAAGGCGGACCACGTCCAGATGTTAAAAACACAGGAAACTGTCAAGAAACCAGAACCTGTATCACCTCAAACCTCACACTGACAAACTCCAAACACCTGTGGCCACCAGAAAATTATGACTATTGCTCAAGTTTGTCCACCGGTAATATATGTCAATGTTCACCTCCTGTCTCCTCCGAGAATTTCTTCTTCAATGGTCCAGACACTCTCGGTCTTTAGACAAACAAAATCCACTGGTTTATGAATAAAAGGGTGGTATTAAACGTTTATTTAAGAATTTTTAGCTGTAACTAAAAGACCTAAAAAAAAACAGGAGTAAAACAGAGAGTATCAACTCCATATGGGATCCTATTTTTAATGTCCGGAGAGTATAAAAATCACCTCTCTTGTACGTGTTAACCGCCGACTGGGATTTATGGAAAAACGGTTTTGGGGTGGACATATCAAATGACCGAAAAACGCTAGTTGGCTACAAAGATGTATTAAATTGAGTACTTTCCCTAGGGAATTTTGGGAGAACGTTTGATGTGGCGTCGAAACTCTAAAGTTTTTCGCAAAGTCGAAAAAATTTAGAATACTTTTGTTGAAAACTTGCGTCGGAGGTTAGGCGTTTCCGAAAATTAGAACGTATGTATTATAATCCCTTTTTATTTGAACATTTGACAGACCGCCAGTGTGGGTACATTTGATAACTACGTTTCGTCTGAGGTTTTCTCACTACTTTTTCAACTTTGTTTGAGGTTGTTGAGGGTACTTGAGGTTTTGATTCTGTCAAAGAACTTCTTCCGTCTTTTTAGGACGAAAGATTTCGGCGAGGCGTATTCGAGTATAAAGAATTGTGGTTTGTTTGCGACTTGAACGAGATTCTAGTTCGCAAAACTGACGTAAGAAGAAATTTTATTATAAAAGTGACATCCACAGTGTCAAGACTGACCTTTGTCTCAGAAGTAGTTTTACATTGGGCTAACGTTGTGGGACACGAAAATAACGTGAAAACCTAATTGTAAAGTTTTTAAACTTCCCCAATGTAAAACTATTTCTGAGAAAGGTCAGCTTGACACTGTGGATGTCACTTATTATAATAAATTGGTTTTTACCGTGCAGTTTGCCCGAACTAGATCTCTGGTTCAAGTCGCAACACCACATTCCTTTATACTCGATCGCTCGCCCGAAATCTTCCCGTCCTAAAAGACGAAGAGAGTTTCTTTACAGATCAAAACCTCAAGTTACCTCAACAACCTCAAACAGGTTGAAAAAAGTAGGTTAGAAACCCTCAGACAAACGTAGGTATCAATGTCACCGCACACTGGCGTCTGTCAAATGTTCAAATAAAGCGATATAAATACATATTCTAATTTCCGGAAAACCCTAACGCGTTCGACCAAGGTTTCAACAAAAAGTATCTAGCGGAAGTGTTTTTTCGACTTTTGCCGCAAACTTTTAGAGTTTTCGACCACAAAGTCAAACTTCTCCCAAAATTCCGCGAGGCGAAATAACTCAATTTAATAGCACTTTGTAACTAGCTTTTTTCGGTTATATTATGTCAGCCCCGTTTTTTCATAAATCAGTCCGCGTGGTTAACACGTACAAGAGGCGTGAATTTTATACTCTCCGGCACATTAAAATAGGATCCATATGCGAGTTGATACTCTCTCGGTTTTACTCCTTTTTTTTTTAGGGTCTTTTTTTAGTTACAGACTAAAATTTCTAATAAACCGTTTAATACCACCCTTTATTCAAAACCAGGTGGATGTTTGTTTGGTTCTAAGACCGAGAGGTGTCTGCGAACATTGAAGAAGAAATTCTCGGACGGGAGACAGGCGGGAGGTGACAATTGACATAATTACCGTGGACAAACTTGACGCAATAGTCATATTTCTGGGACAGGTGGTTCGCGAGTTTTGTCAGTGTGAGGTTTGAGGGTCGGATACAGGTTCTGGATTTCTGACAGTTCCTCGTGTTTTTAACATCCTGCGACGTGGTCCGACCCTTCTGACTTAGACGTTATCCATTTCGTCGGCAACCACACTTCTTTAAGTTGACACCCTTCCGTTAAATAAGTCTTTACCTTCTGTGATTGTTCTGAGTTGACTATTTAGAGGCGGAACTACGACCCCGAGGTGCGGTTCTAGAGTGGGGCACCCCAGTTTTACTAGTGTTCTTGGCCACTCGTTTTTAGGGTCTTCGGTGTGGCCCCCCTGACAGTTACTGTCACCGTCTCTCGGACCCTGGCGTTTTCATTGTTTCGATGGTAGTCATTGTGTGATGCGGCGGTCCCTGAGCTTTTAAGGACGTCCACGCTCTGCACAGGGGGACGAATTCGGTATGACAGGTCCGGGCAGACTCAAACCGATCTCTCGTAAATCTACTAGGTCTTCTCCTAACCCTCTTACAGTATACCAGTCTACTTTGGTTTTATCTTGAAAAACCATTTTTGGGGGTTGAATCTGCTACAAAACCTCCCTTTCTTACCGCTCAACCGTAGGTTTCTTGTCGGTATTCGGATCGTCACTTTGTACCCCCACCTTTGTAGTACGAAACCCGACAAAAAGACGTTTCCCTGGTCCTGCTGACTAGCGCACATTTCCTTTCTTACTTACCCCGGTACATAGCACTCTAAAACTCACCGTTGGAGGAAGGTAGGCGTTCCCGTAACCCCCTTTTTTACTTTAGCACCGACCCAGAGAAGTCGTACTGTTACTAGGGTTGGTGTGGCGGGCCCGTTGCTTCCTCACCGAAGCATTTCTTCGTAAAGTTCCAGGACCTCACCGCGATTTTCGGTCAGAGGTCTAGAGTTGGGGTAGTCTTTTCTAGAAACCTCCCTCAACTTTCAGGCACAACGGCGCTGGTCGGAGCTTTGTAGGTGACGAGATCTCCTATAGACGTACCTCCTTACCCGGGTTTGTATGGGTCGTTGTCACACAACTTTTGCGAACACTTCGTGAATCGTCTTTTGGCAAACTGAGACAGTAAACCGGTTGTTTCCCCATATACTGTTTCATAGCTCTACTTGAAAACAATAACTGGTTTATGAATAAGAGGTGGTACGAAACGTTTATCT